GCGTGCTGCAACTGTCGGATACCCACTTTACAAAAATGTTGAAAGAAAGGCCTGTACGTGGATATTCTGACCAGCCTTCACTTAGGGCGGTCACATGTCTGGCCCGCCTTCACTTAGGGCGGCACGAGGCTTGCTGGGGCCTTGGCCCAGAACATATGCATGTCGGCAAGGCCCCCTTCTGAGGGCTAATTTCTCACATTCCATCCCCCTTAGCTTCGAAAGTCCGCTGAGATGCTTACTTCGCAGGTGCCTTCCCTTTCAACATTCTTTCATATTCTGCCACCACTTGAGGAGTTGTCTCAATCAGTTCCTCTCTGGTAAACCACCGATCTTCTTTTGGATCCGTATGATGCCTGAATCTGACACGATACTCTCTCTTGGGTTTAGGAGGTCTTCCTCGACCCAGCGGCTTTGGAACATGCATATCCCTATGATCCACAATGTCGTCGATGTCCACTTGACCATCCATGGTTGGGGGCAGCATCGATCTCCTTGAAGGGAATTGATCAGTCTCAGCGAAAGGTGCAAGCTTTGAGGCATGAAAGATAGGGTGAGTGCGTAGGTGTCCAGGGATACGAATGACATATGTAGGACCATCCATCTTATCTCCCACTATATCCAGGACTTCCCAGGGACCAAAATACTGAGGCATTAGTTTACGAGAGATTCCAACTTCCTGTCCTAGCTCACTAGCCTTGACCCAGACACGTTCCCCTACCTGAAATGAGGACTGTCTACGATGTTGGTTCTCAGAAGCAATCATCGCTTGTGGAGCTTTCTTCATGTGCTTGACAGCTTGTTGTAGCAACTTCTCATACTGCACACCATACTCAAGTGTGCCTGGAGTTGCAGAGGATCGGTTTTCAGGTAGGAAGAAGTCTAGAGCAGATCTAGGCTTCCATCCCAAGTGCAACTGGTTAGGACTAACGCCGGTACTGCTGTGTACAACGTTGTTGTACACGCTGGCGATGAGAGGCAACTTCTCATCCCAGTCATCCTGGTTGGGCTTGATGTAATGCCTCAGCAAGTGCTGTACATATCTGTTCGTCTGCTCGGCCTGTCCGTTGGCTTCGGGATGATTCCCTGAAGTCATCTGAAGTTGACTGCCCATCTGCTCAGCAGTCTTCTTCCACCGCTCACTTGTGAAACGGACATCTCTGTCACTAGCGATTGTCTTTGGTAAACCAAAGTCACGCACCCAGTTGTCCTTGAACAACTTGATGGCATGGTCAGTCCTTGCGGTCTCTGGCATGGCAACTAGTCTAGCGTACTTGGTGAATCGATCGATGATGACGAAAATGTGCCTCTTGCCACTCTTACTGGTCACCAGGGTGTCCATGAAATCCATGGAAACACTCAGTCCTGGACCAGCGGGGAAAGGTAAGGGCTTCAACAACCCAAGCGGTGCTTGAGTTCGCGGCTTGTCTCGCTGACAGACCTGACAGGTCTCTACGTACTCCTTTGCGTCATCTAACATTCCAGGCCACCAAAATCGCTGTACTAGATTAACACTCGTCTTCTTGTAGCCAAAGTGCCCGGTTGCGTCATGGCATTTTCCTAAAAACAAACTACGCAATCGTTCACTAGATGGAACTACTAACCTTTTTATTCCGGCCTTATCAAGATAGAGAAGCCCGTCCACCATCACAAACTCATTCTCTGTGGCCTTGTCTTTCACCTGAAGTTTGCGTATGATGTCCATCGTGACAGGGTCTTCCTGATAGGCTCCCACCAACAATTGAGTCAGTTCTTCAGGTACACCAAAGTCAGAAACTAGCGCCCCTAGGTAGTCTGCCCTACGTGATAGCGCATCTGCAGATACTCAAGCTTGAAGTCATATTGATCTATGACCTCAATCCATCGCTTGAGTGCATCAGAAAGAGCCGGTTGAGTCTTGATCCATTTGAGAGTCTGATGGTCAGTCCTCAAGTAGAAGAACCGTCCCAACAGAAAATGTCTCCAATGGACAAGTGCCTTGTAGAGTGCATAGAGTTCCCTTTCATAGGTGGACTTCGCCAATTTCTTAGATGGCATTTCTTGCTCATGTACTCAATCGGTCTCAATTTCTTCCCATCCTGCTGAGCCAGCACTGCGCCAATGCCGTATTGGCTTGCGTCAGTGGTCACTATGAATGGCTTCAATCTCTTGAAAGCACCCTCGCACTCATCACTCCAGTCCCACTGAGTGTCAAGTCGGGTTAGATCTGTCAAAGGAGAGGCGACTGTAGAATAGTTCTTTACGAAGTTCCTATAGTAGCCGCACATTCCTAAGAAAGATCTGACCTCAGTGATAGTCTGAGGTCGTGGTCAGTCTTGAATACTAGCCACCTTGGCATCTTCCGGCCTAATCCCTTCCGCGGATACTTCATGACCCAAGTATAATATCTTAGTGCGACCAAACTCACACTTCTCTAGGTTGACCTTATACTTGTGCTGTCGCAGGAGTGAAAGTACAGTCTCAACGTGCTGTGCATGCTCCTCGGCAGACTTACTAAATATCATAATGTCGTCAAGGTAAACCACGACAAACTTATCTAAATGGTTATGGAAGATCCGATTCATGGCGTGTTGGAATGTTCCCGGCGCATTGCAAAGACCAAAGGGCATCACTACAAACTCATGCAGACCATATCGAGTTTGAAAAGCTGTCTTGTGTTGGTCCTCAGGTCTTATAGCGATCTGATGATAGCCGGATTTCAAGTCTATCTTGCTATAGTACTTGCATCCCTGCACCCTATCCAGTAGGTCGTCTATGCGAGGTAGAGGCTCTGCGTTCTTCACTGTGATGGCATTGAGGCCTCTATAGTCAATGCACATCCTCAATGTACCCCCCTTCTTTGGTACAAATAGTACTGGAGATCCGTAAGGGGAAGTACTAGGCCGAATCCATCCCTTCTCTGTCAGCTCTTTCAGTTGTCGCCGAAGTTCATCTAACTCGGCGGGAGCCATCCTATAGATCCTTCCCTTTGGGGKTTTACTCCCTGGAATGATTTCTATAGCATGGACAACTTCCCTTTCTACAACTCCTGTAGGCTCTTCGAACATATCAGGGAACTTAGCAACGACGTGTTCTATCTCTGGGGGTGTTTTAACGGCCTCCCCTTTCTTAGAGACATACACTAGGTACATACCTTCCTCTTGGTTCTGTATGTAATAGTTATAGAACGCTGATGCACACAAGCAGCCATAGGTATCTATAATGCTATTGGCTTTGAACTTAGTCAATCTGACTGTTCTGCCATCAGGCAACTTATGTTTTAGCACCTTATCCCAGTCGAACTGGGGCTTAGCAACCTCAAGGTAGTATATGCCTAACAACATGTCAAACGGCAAGTCGTCGCTAGCCAGGAACAAAATCTTATGATTCAGTTCCCCTCCTCCATAGGAGAAGGTACAGACTACATTCGGGATATAGTCTGTGACAATCATGCGCTCCTTGTTGGCCAAAGTAGATGCTACTGGTCTTCTAAGGTGCCGTACCCGGTCCTGTAGGTGCAGCCTTTCCAAACAGTCGCGACTTATATAATTCCGCGTGGATTCGATGTCTATGAAGGCACCACATTTGCGGCCTCCTACATCCACTTCCACCACGAAATGTTCCCCTCTAGGATCTTTCTTTAGTGCCACCCAAGATTCACGAGGGTCCTTGTTTGACCACCCACTTTCTAAATCTTCAAAGGCTTTAGACACATCCAACGTACAGAGCATAGTTTGGTCTGGATGAGTCTGCGGGGTGACTAAAGAGTCATTAGCTATGGCCATCTCATCAAGTGGGGAGGGTATCTGGCCCACTTCACCCTGAGTAGGAGCAACTAAAACTTCCACCGGCCTCACGTGTTTCCCGAACTAGAAGCCTGGGAAGAAGATGCCCCCATCTTAGGAGGTATCTTCTGCGTGACCTTTGCGTTCTGGCACTTGTACTGGGTGTGTCCGTATTCACCACAGTTTATACAAGCGCCACGCACTCGGCGGTCCCGCCACACGTCTTGATCAAGACCTGCCTTGACCCAATCAGCCACTTTGGTCTGATTGGAGGTGACCTTCCCTTGACTCTTTGGATGGCCCTTACCTCGGCCACCCGCCTTAGCCTTGACTACTGCGGCGAAGGTGCTACCCTCAGCGATCTCCTCGCTGTCGTACTCTGAAACGTCCACCAGGTATGAGAGCTCGTCGATCTCTGTTTGAGTCCCATCGGACTCGATCATCAACAATTTAGCCCCCTTGTTCTTCCATTCCTGGGGACTCTTCTTCTTCCTCGCGTCATTCTGAGAAGGTTGAGCATTTCCTAGAGTGGCCTCTAAATCTAAGGCTTTTCTAGATAATGTCTCAAACGAGTGATACTCGAGGCGAGCCTCGCTGGCTAGCAGATTCCTGAGGCTCTTTGGGAGACATCTCACGAAGGTGGTCAACAGGAACTGGTTATCGTAGTTGATGCCTGGGACGACAATGAGGCTTTCTACGGTAGTCGTAAGCTCCCTGACTGACTTAAACTTTCTTTGGTCTAGTCTGTTTATCGCATCAGTGGCCATTTGTGCCTGCTGAGGATTATGCCAACGAGCTTTTACCATCTCTAAGAACTGGTCTAATGTTATGGTCTTAGCCCAGTCCGCCATCCGTCGTCCGTACCCGGCCTTTGTAACTAAACCATCTAGCCATTTGGCTGCCTTACCCTCGAGGTAAGATGCAACAATATTCACCTCCTCCTCCTGCAAGGTCCTCTTCGCCTTCACCCAAACTGGGACTGTTCTCAACCAAGTGTTGAGTTCTTCGTCCTTCTTCTCACTTGAGAAGGCAAGAGGTGGTTTCATAGGGGTCTTAGGGTACCATTGACCTTGCGGCTGTCCGTGTAGAGGAACAGGTTGTTGTGGTGGTGTAGCAACCACCGCTGGACCCGAAGAAGAAGAAGCAACAGTCTGTGTGGCTGCTGCAGACGTGCCACTTGGTTGTGTGCCAGCTTGTACGAGAAAGGGGCCAGACATCGCCGTTAACGGCAACGGCGACTGTGCTGGTGGCCTAAATCTGGCCTTTGCAAAATGTCTAGGATCTGGTCTAGGGTGTTCTGCATAAAGTCCAATCAGCTGTCCACGTGCACATGCAGTGACAACATATTGTTCTTCAATACTTTCATTGGGTCAGACAGTCCTGACTCATCCAAACCCTCTAACTCAGCTTTGTCTGCCTCTAACGTTTCAAGCCTGGCTGTTCTATTTTTGATCTCTCTTTCCCAATCGGTTGCTTCCTTCAGTTCCCTCTATAATCGTTCACGGATCCTTTCGACTTGTTGGAGCTCTCTTAGCTCCCGTTCGCGTGGGGTCAACGGGCTGAACTGCGAGCCCGCCATTTGACTTGTAGACTGTCGAGAACCTAGTAAACTGGAAGTACCCGTGGACCTTGTGGGCATTCCCAACTGGGCCCCATTGGTCCCAGACGAGGACGCAACAGAGGATGCTGCTGCGGAAGCCATGGCCGCTGCCCTAGCTGCTGCTGCAGCCTGTTCCCTAGCTGCGGCGTTTGCTGTTTCCCTAGCAGCTGCCAGTGCACGGGCTCTGCGTTTGGCACGAAGCCGTCCTTCGTCTCCCGGTTGTAGGGCCTGAAACACGTTCGGGATCCTACGTGATCTCAAAAGTGTGAGTCTTGCATCGTCAACTGCTCGCTCATCGATGTCTGACCCGTTCATCAATTAGGCAAACATTATCTGCACTAGAACCCCCTAGTGGAGTCCTACCACAACATGTGTCTGATTGGCACCTAATTTTCTAAAAATAGTTGTGTCCGGCAGGTCCCCTACTTTACCGATCAAGTGGCAATCTACAACATTCACAACAGATTGTCAACATAGTCTAGATGTATCTTGATTGGTTCACTTACAACAGCATTAGATAGAACTGGCTATGGTAGCATACAACAGTCCTACTCTAATCTGTCTGTGAGGTGTTAGCAGTCTGTCCACCAACTAATCAACAATAAAAGAAGACCATGTTGCAGATGTATGAATAGTGGGTATGGTTGTGTTTCCAGTTGAGCATCAATTAGAACCTACCCTCCCCTCAATCCAACATACCGACCAGCATCATTGAGCAGCGGTGTCTTCGTGTGCAACGTCGGCCCACCCCTGTGCCCAAGTTGTTACCGAGCAAGCCAACCCATCCACTCTTATTTACCCTCGTACGGAACGAGCCTTACTGCCCAGTGTGATCTGGCTGATCAGGATGGATTTAAGGAGAGCCCCCATCTCCTGAGGAATTCTTTAACGTCGCAGACAGGACGACGATCACGACCAGAATCAACACTGAACTCCCAATCAGAAATGTTTATAGACGGTTTGAAAAGCGTCTCTTATGGGCTGGCACACCCGACAGGACTTCTATTCAGCGCAGCAAGTGCCAAAATGGACAGCAGCCATCGCATGCGTGACCTACTCCCATTCAGTTGGCATGGTGACCGTGACCCAGTGCTTCGACCAGGGCCCTTCAGAGGCACCGCCCTTTCTCCTTCCAGATGCTTCCGGGAAGATTGTCGTCTCTC